AGTGGCCCCAGTAACTTGATAGCTTAAAACAGCAACCATTGTTTATTGTTGCTCCTGGTTACCATGAGTCAGGACTCTGGGAGTGGCTTAACTGGGTGGTTCTGCTCAATGTCTCCCATGTGCCGAGAGGCAGGACATTGGCCGGTGCTGCACTCTTCTGAAAGCCTGGTTGGGGATGAGGGATCTCCTTCCAGGGAGCCTCAAATGGCTGCTACTGGCCAGAGGCCTTCAGTTCCTCCCACCTGAGCTGCTTGAGTGTCCTCACAACATGGCGGCTGCTTGCCTACAGTGGGCAATCCAAGTGACTGAGTGAGAAGGGTACCACCATGTCTTTGATGACCTAGTCCTGGAAGTGACATGTCACCTGCACAGTATCTTACTGGTTGCACAGGTCAGCCCTATTCACTGTGAGAGGGGACTAACAAGGGTGTAAACACAGGTAATGGTCACTGTGAGGGAAGGTGGGGGCATCTTGGAGGCTGGCTGCCAGATGCTACAATGTGCCTGTCCCCCCCTCACACACCTCTCAGGGGTGTTTAAAAGAAACCTCATTGCCGTGCAGTCAATTTCAATATACAGCAACCCCCTTTGGGTTTCCAAGGCAGTAAATCTTTTAGAAGATTTCTCGTCTTCCTAATGCAGAGCGGTGGGAGGCCTGAACTGCCAGCCTTCTGGTTAGCAGGCAAGCGCCTTAGGCAGTGCACCACCAGAGCTGTTAGGTGCTCCAGAGGAGAGGAGTCAAGAAAGCATGGGATGTGCAGCCTTATGCACACGAAGTGCTCAGCAACGGCAGCCTCTGTGTACAGCACCAACTCCAGTGAAAGCAGAGAGACCAGTTGCCCTCGCCGAGCCCCGCTGACCAGACAGGCCCCTGCCTTTGATGAATGGGGACTGAGAAGAAGCATCACTTTTTTTTTTTCCTTTTCCTGAAGGTTTTAAACACCTAATTTATTCCATCCATTAGATAGATTTTGTAGATTTAATCATTTTCACAGTTGGTGGCTCATTGGATATTCAAGATAAACTCCAAATGAAAGTATAATGCTGAGGACAAATGAGTTTTCACACCACAGCGGCACAAACTTGCTTGGGAAGAGAGTTGAGGAGGAACAAAAATGCACAGATACCATTTTTTTTCCTAGGCAGCCGCCGCTTTTGCTGACTATAGTAGGTTACCACAGTTAATTTCTCCAGTTTTGTTCATCTGTAAAATTGCATAAAAGTGACATTTTTGTGCTCATTATAGCAACTGCTGATTTACGGCTGGTAAATGAAGAGCCGGGCCCTTTTTTTTGTGGGACTCTCCGAGCGGTGCTAAGTGCCCATGAAATTGCTTGTATAATGTAGTTTAAATCCAATCTCTGAGAAAGATTCCCCCGTTGGCCAAAGTGACATTTCCATTCTCCACACCGAGTTTATTTTAGGCCACTTAGGAGGGAGCTGCCCCAGGATGGGGGCCATGGCCGGCCCGGCCCAGGTGAGGACAGAGTGGTCTCCCAGTCCTCCCTCCCTGCTGCCCTGTCCAGCTCGGCCCGGAGTCCCTCTGCTGGGGCAGCCAAAATGTGCTTTCTAACCTGCGGGCCTGCCTGCCCCAGGCCCGCCCTCCCTGCCCTGCTTCAAACCTTCCAAGGCTGGGCAATTCTTGCATCATGAAGTTATACATTTGGGGCTGACAATCCTTTGTGGGGACCTCTGAGTGGACAGATGGTTATGTGGCAGGCTACTAGCCAAAAGGTTGGTGGTTTGAAGCCACCCAGAAGCATCTCGGATCTGCTTCCAAAAGGTCTCAGCCTTCAAAACTCTATAGGGCAGTTCTGCTGTGATATGTGGGAGCACCATGACTTGCAGTCGACTCCATGGCAACCAACAACAGTCCTCCACTGTGGGGGGCGGTCCTGGGCACTGTAGGATGCTGGACAGCATCCCTGGTCTCTACCCATGCGATGCCAGTAGCATCCCATCCGCAGGTGTGACAACCAGACCTCTCCAGATGTTGTTGCCAAGTGCCCCTAGGGCAGAACCTCCCCTGATCACTCCCACAGTGACGGCCAGGCCCCTTGCCCTGCTGGCTCCTGCCCTCCGAGCAGCCTCCCTGCCTCTCCCCTCCACACACCAGCTCCTGGCTGCCTGCTCACTGGGAGGCCCCCGGCTCCCACCTGGACCTGTTTCTTTGCCTCCGTGCCTTGGCCCTGCTGTTGCATCTGCTTGAAATATCACCCCTTTCACCACGGTCCCAGGATTTCACTCGGAGGCATTTCCTCTGGAAAGCTGTCTTGGTTGCCCTAGCTGGGGTAGGCTCCCCAGGTCCCCATGCTGCCCCTGCTACCCCATCTCAGCAGGATTTGCTCAGATTGTGAGTTGGGGGCGGGGACTCTGGGGTGAGGCTCTTAGAGGAAAGGACGTGGCTGTGTGGCCTCTGACTGGTGGGGCGTCTGGGGAAGATGGGGGTCTGCAGTCACAGGGGCGGCCTGAGCCCTCCGCCCCTTCTGTTCTGGGAAGGCTGTTGCCCAGGGCAGGTGGGGCCATGGATGCTCACACAGAGCGCCCGCTTCTGCCAGCCTAGGCTGCCCGCCATCATGACTTACAGTGACCCTGGGAGGTCGTGTTAGCGGCAGCCGATGAAGAAACTGAGGCTGAGTGGTGCCACTCTCCCCAGTTGTCCCCCCTCCCCCCATGTCTGGTAATCACTGGGACCCCAGGGTGCTCTGTGGGGCGGGAAGGAAGTCCGTGTGCTGTGGAGACGTCTACCACCCACCTGGGCACGATCCCCCAGGATCTACTGTGCACCCGAGCCCCTGCAGGGTCGCTCCTCCAGGCCACCTTGCAGACCTGGCATAGTCGTTACACCTGTTCCACAGGTGGGAAAACTGAGGCTTAGCTGAGCAAAGGTTTCCAGGACCACCAAGAAAAAAAGCCTCAGCCAGTCACTGTTGAGTTGACTCCAACTTCTGGCGACCGCACGTGTGTCAGGACAGAACCGTGCGTCGTAGGACTCGCATTGGCTTGTTTCGGAAGTAGTCACCAGGCCTTCCTGCTGAGGTATCCCTGGATGGCCTTGAACTGCCAACCTTCCGGTTAACAGTCAAGGTATTAACTCTTTGTGCCACTCAAGGACTCTGCCCAGGGTCACACAGCCCCACACTGGAGTCTCACCTAGGCCTGGCCAGCTCCAGAGCCCCCATCCCCTCCATCAAGAAGAGCCCTGGGAAGGAGAGGTAGGACTGCCAGTAACTCACCTCCCCTGTGACAGGGGCCACTTATGCCTATCAGCAGTGGGGACAGCCACCCTGTCACATAGATTACACCCTTCTGCTCCGTACTGATAGCGCACACAAATGCAGAGGGCACCATTCTGGCCTGGCAGGTGACAGGCAGACTCCAGGGAAAGGGCTGGGCAGCCAGTGGGGCTGGGGGGGGGAGCCAAAGGAACGGGTCAAACCTCCCCTCCTCACCCTTTTCTTTTTGGATGATGAAAATATACGTAAAGATGCCTTCACCGAATGAACGATCCCACACATACAGTTTGTTGACATGGTGATGCTCTCCAAGTGGTGTGACCTTTGTCGCTGTCTTCAAGGGTTCCACCACCATTAACATAAATTCAGTGCCCCCTAAGCAAAAAACTTGCCCTCCTCCTGACCCATGGTAACAGTGATAATCCTTGGTCTCTGTGTAGTCGCATATTTCACACATGTGAGATAATACGGTGTTTGTCCTGCGGCTGCCTGGTTCCGCCCAGCGTGATGCTTTCTAGCTTTATCCATGTGCCACACGGCAGAACTTCATTTCTTCTTGTGGCTGAGTAGCGCCTCATCCAACCTCTCGACTAAGTGCAGATGGAAGCCAACAGCAGCAGCCCCCGAGGGCCTCCCGCCAGCACCAAGCTCTGTTCCGTGAGCAGTACTGCAATTAACCCATCCCATTTTACAGATGAGAAAAGGGAGGCACCGAGGAGACTAGTGGAGGAATAGGCATGAACACCCACCAGAAGGGCGTTAGATAAGGGACAGTATTAAGTGTCATCAAGAGCCAGGAGCCACTTGTAAGAGTGTAATTGCCACGGTCTCTGGTAAACTGTCGGCATTTTCTCTTTAAGCTAAACATGCTGCTGTGTTGGCCTTGAGTTGATCTCAACTCATAGCAACCCTATAGGACAGAGGAGAGCTGCCCCATAGGGCTTCCAAGGCTGTAATACTTAAGGGAACAGACTGCCAGGGGTTTTCTCCCCCAAAGCAGTTGGTGGGTTCCAACAGCGAAACTGTCAGCAGCCAATCACTTAACCCTTGTACCGCCCGGGTTCCTTAAGCAGAACATGGGCTTCCCCTCCAGCCAGCAATGCCACTTCTGGGTATATATTTATATTCCCAACAATTCTGTGTGTGTGGGCTACATACCAGAACGGTCATCATGACCAATGTCACTGAACAGTGTGCCTAAATCCCACTGGATGGGAACCTGATGTACGGCGTAAAGAAACTCACTAAAAATATTTAAATAATAATTTAAAAAAAAAACCATTTGTCATAGCCCAGAATGAATGCCCACAAGCAGCAGGAGAGAGAAACAGACTGTGAGGGGTCCTCATGGTGTGGTCCAGCAGTGAGAGACCTGAGCGATCGCGACACACAGCAGCCCTTGTGGAGCTCACCAACAGTGTGGTGGGAGGAGCAGCAAGACACAAAAGAGTACGGGCTACAGGCCTAGGATTCCACTGGCCGCATGCAAGATCCAGGCCCCACCAGGCCATGTGGTTAGAAGTCAGAATAGTGGTGAACCTTGGGGCTTTGTGACTGTTGGGGTCCTGGGGGGACGAGCAGCGTTCTGTTTCTTCACCAGGTGTTACGTGGGCGTGAGCTGTTTCCCATATGTAGTTAAAACACTTTGGTAAAAGGCTTAAAAAAATCTGAAAGGAATGAGTGCAGGAGGAAAGGGTGAGGGAGGGACGCCTGCAGGGGGTGCCGGGGTGGCGCTCAAATGCTGTCACCTGCCTTTCTCCGCAGGCGAGCCGGCGGCCAGCTCCATGCATTCCTCCCGCTACCCAAGCCCGGCCGAGCTAGACGCATACGCCGAGAAGGTGGCCAACAGCCCTCTCTCCATCAAGATCTTCCCCACCAACATCCGGGTGCCCCAGCACAAGCACCTCAGCCGCACCATCAACGGCTATGACACCAGCGGCCAGCGCTACAGCCCCTACCCTCAGCACGCCACCGGCTACCAGGGCCTGCTGGCCGTCGTCAAAGCCGCCGTCTCCTCCAACGGGGCCGCACCCACCGGGCCCGCCAAGAGTGTGCTCAAGAGCGCCGAGGGCAAGCGGACCAAGCTGTCGCCGGCCGCCGTGCAGGTGGGCATCGCTCCCTACCCAGTGCCCAGCGCTCTGGGGCCCTTGGCCTACCCCAAGCCGCCTGAGGCGCCTGCCCCACTGGCTGGCCTGCCAGCTGCCGCCACCACCACGTCTGTCATCCCCCTGCCGGGCCGTGGCCTCCCCCTGCCGCCTTCCAACCTGCCCTCCATCCACAGCATCCTGTGCCAGCTCAACCAGCAGTGCCAGGCCCCGGGTGCTGCCCCCGCTGCCTGCCAGGGTGTGGCCGTCCCCCACCCCAGCCCGGCCAAGCACGGCCCCGTGCCCAGCTTCCCCAGCATGGCCTACTCGGCTGCCGCTGGGCTGCCTGACTGCCGGAAAGGGGCCGAGCTGGGCCCCAGAACCACGCCGGCCTTGACGCTAGCCGGGGCCACCAAGCCTGCCGGGTATGCAGACGGTGGCTTGGATTACCTGCTCTGGCCGCAGAAGCCGCCCCCACCACCCCCCCAGCCACTCCGTGCCTACAGTGGGGGCACAGCGGCCAGCAAGTCCCCCGAGGGGTGTGGGGGGCGGGCGTACGAGCGGGCCAGCGGGTCGCCCCTCACCTGTAGCGTCGGGCTGCCGGCTAACTTCACCATGGGCCAGTACTTCACCGCCCCCTGGAACAGCGTGCTGGTGACCCCCACCAGCGACTGCTACAATCCCACGGCGACAGGGGCAGTCCCAGAGCTGGGGCCGGGCGCGGCCCGGGAGCTGGTGGGCGTCCCCGCAGATGCTGTGTCGGGCCTGCCCAGCAAGAGCGTGTGCAGCACGTCGGTGCTGAGCAGCAGCCTGCAGTCGCTGGAGTATCTCATCAATGACATCCGGCCGCCCTGCATCAAGGAGCAGATGCTGGGCAAGGGCTACGAGACGGTGGCCGTGCCCCGGCTGCTGGACCACCAGCATGCCCACATCCGCCTGCCCGTCTACAGATAAGGCCTGCCCGGCGCCACTCAGACTGACGGCCGGGGCGCTGAGGGGGAGGCAGGCTGCGGGGCAGAGCCGGTGGCTCCCAGGGGCCAGGCCTCCCCCCACCCTGTGCCCATGATGCCCACAGGGAAGCCAGGCGGCTTTGGCCCCACTGCCGTCACAGGGTGGCAGGGTGACCCCTCTGCACCGAGACCCCTCCCCCCTGAGCTCCCAGGACCCTGGAGTGGCCGGAGCAGTGGCCAATGTCTGCGCCTTCCTGCGTCCACACTGGCAGAGGCAAGGGGAGAGAACAACCCCTGGGAGAGGGGAGTGGTTCCTCCTAGCTCTCCCAGGAAAGGGGCTCAGGCCAGGGGGGGCCATGGGAGGGAATGCAGGGCTCTGGAGTCAGGGTGGGGTCACACAGCTGGCTTCCCTCTCCCCCGGCCTCCTGGAAAAGGAACAAAGGGGGCCCATAGAGAGTCACTGGGCCCCACTGTCCCCCGACTGGTCAATCTAGGCCACAACCATTCTGTTAGGGGCCCAGGGACTACCGGTTCCCTTGTCCCGCCTATCCCCATGCCCTATTCCTTCCTAATAGAATCCCACCCCTATTCTCCAGACCCTGGACTCCTCCCCTGCCCACTCCCCCCAGTACATCTTACAGGGCTGCCAGGCACAGCTGTGCAGGCTGTACACTGCACAAGGGCACCTCGTCTTGGTAGATGCCACGCGCAGCCTAGACTTGGATTTTCATTACAAGTTTCTGCATCTTGAGGATGGGGCGCCATTTTCATATTCGCACAAAGGCGCCATGGGGGCCAGCTGTGGGCCTGCGTCTTAGACCCACTTAGCGGGACCCCACCCTGCCTTCCTCGGGGGTCTCCTTGAAGCTAATGAGGGGACAACTGACTGGTTTTAATTGGGGGAACTGATTCGTTTCTTGCAAACCAACCTCCAAGGCCCACCCCCAGCATCAGTGGGGAAGGC